CCACTTTTCTAGTGCTTCAAATCCCAATGGCATTTTTATTGAAAACTTATTACATTTACAAATTAACTTACAAATTAATTTCAAGGAAATTGACATATTTATAACACTGAAGCTCTAACCCAGGCTCAGTAAGTTATTCATTTAAGCAGCGTTTTTTTCATATGGTTTGCCTGTTTTTCTGGCATGTTTCTTCATATAATCTTGCATATTTCCTTTGATCTCTAGATATTTTATTTTTCTTTATTGCTTATGAAAAATGAATCTTTTAAATTATAGCTCTAAACTGTTTAATGTTGGTTTACATGAAATCTATATTTTTGCATATTAATTTATATCATCTGTTGGGATGATCTTTTTCATATTAGTTTTCAGTGGTTTTCTTGGTTTTATACAGATATACAAATAAAACATATTCAAAAAGTAATAATTTAGCCTCTCCAAATTTTATATCCCTATAATTCCTTTTCTGTCATTATGTTGATGATGAAGGTGAGCGATTGTTTTGCCAAATTTTTGTGGAAATGTCTTTAGTCTTTCTCCATCAAGTATGAAGGTCGCATATGGTCTAATATAGTCTGATAGTATTAAGGAAATCTCTATTCATTTTCATGACTTTATATTTGACTCTTCTAAGTTTCCTCAAGATAGCTTCATGGAAACATACATTGAAGCTGTATGTTTGATTTTGATTTCTTACAAATTAGAACTGTTTTCCCCTGACCTTTACAATTGGTTATAATTTTGGCTGAATAGAAACTTATAGATGATTCTTTACTTACTACTGTGGAAAGACATGATTCCATTTTGATTTCTTCCCTCCTTATCAGTATGACTGCTGTAAAATGTGTTGTTCAAAGGGGCAATTCTAAGCGTAACAAAGTGTTCTATTAGTAATTATACTGGAACAAAAACCATAAACTGGAACTGCCTTCTCCCCTACACCTCAAGAAAAGCCTGAGATATATGGTGACACTAACAATAAGTGCTTTCTTCCCTATTCTTGGTTACTCAAGATTTATTTCTTTACAATTAAAGTTTAGCAACTTTTGAAAAAATATATCTCAGTGCTGAATGTTCTGTGTTAAGTGTTCAAGTTTCCAAGGCACATGGGAAATTTCAGTGAGTATATTCAATATGTTTTTGGATCTCAACAAAGTTTTCTTGAGTTATATATTTTTAGTGTTTATTTTCTTCCATTATTTTGAGTTTATCTCTAGTCTTCTTTAACCTTTAATTTCAGTTTCAATTTGATTGCTTTACTCTTTTCTGATGTCTGTCCCTTGCTGTGTTTCCCTATGTATTATCAATTTTGTGGTATTTTTAACTGAGCTTTATTTTTGTACTTATGATATATATCTTAATATATACATATTTCCTTTCTGAGTTCTACCAGATTACCAGGTCACATTTTATCTTCTATTTTACATCACCTGTTTCCTTAGATTTTACATTTTTGTTTTATAATATTCCTTCAGAGATGTAATGACTCATCAAGTTTGAAAATTTCCATGGGAAAATCCTTAGCAATAATTTGCATCAGCCCGTGGCACCACGTTTTTATGAGTGTTCTTCACCTGCTAATAACATTTGCTGCTTTAATCAAATATTTTCTTGTCCTTGCATTGTTACTGTGCCACATAATTAAAATTACTTTTCATCGAATGAATTTTCTTGGTTTTAGTTATTAGTTTTTCCTGGATTAAGAACAATTGGTAGACATTTCCTGTGAAGAGTCCAATAAGGCAAAGATAGTCTTCTAGGAAACAGTACACAAAGGTTTCTTTTTGGGTTTTGTTTCTAAATAGGCAGGCTGTTTTTGATAAATAACATGCATCTTTATCTAGCTCTGTCTCAACTAATTTTGTGAACTAGCTACATCCGTGAGTGTATGTTACCAGCCTTGTTCATTTCAGTTATCATTTGTTGAAAGCAAATGATATAGGTTTTATAGTTCAAGATGAGACCCTTACTTTCAGAAAATTTATTCTATCCAAGGCTAGTAAGGAAATGCTAAGTTACACAGTTGTATTTCTATCAAAAATTCTCCTTTATCTTTTGAACCCACTCTAATCACTGTTTTTCCTTCCTACCCAATTGAAAGATTTCTAATAAAAATTCATTAACCTCTATATTAGTTATTCCACTGGTCAAATTATACGTGTTATTTCATGTGGATAAACACTGCTATGTACCATCAGTTGTTCATGCCTCTTTTTTGACGTATTTTCTTTGATTGCACCCCAGGACAGCATTCTGTCTGTTTTCCTCCAACCTCACTGGCTAATTCTTCTCAATTTCCTTTGCTGATTCTTCCTTATTTCCCTAAGCTCTAAACACTAAAAACACTAGAGCTGCATTCTGAGGCCTTTTCTCCTTTCTCTCTTCACTTCCTTCTTAGATGATATGTTTTTATTACCACTGCACTCTCCCACCTGGATGCTAAACAGACATATTAAAATTAGTAAGTCCAAATACAAACTCCAACTCTTCATCCTGAAATGTGGCTCTTTTTTTCATACCCTTCCCCATCTCAATTAATAAAAGAACCCTCCTCACAGTTGTTTAAGTCCCAAACTTGGAGTAATTCTTGATACCAATGTTTCTTACACTCCATATCCAACCATCACCATTTTTTTTTTCAGCTCTTCTTTAAAAACATAACCAGAATCTGAACACTTCTCACCAGCCACAAACATCATAGCATTGCATCAAGCTGATCTCCTTGCTTTTGACATTTTTCTTTCGGTTTCTGTGCAGCCAAACTAACACAATTTTAATATGCTATTGCATTAATTTTCCCTTCAAAATTCTTCAAAGGTTGTCCACTTCACTCAGAGCAAAAGGCATGTCCTTTAAACGACTGTAAGTTCCTTCATAATATCGCTTCCTCCTCCAAGTACAGCATCTCTTTGTGCTCTGTCAACCATTCCAGGAAATTTACTACCTCAAGGCCTTTGCACTCGATGTACTCTTTACCTAGAATTTTGTCTCACCTTTTGCCTTCTAGACTCATGCTCTCATAACTTTCAGGTTGTGCTAAGATTGCCTTATCATTAAAGTCTTTTGATAAATTTCTATATAAAATAAAAACGAATGGATCAACCTACACCCTGGTTACTACGTATTTCCTTTTTGATTTTCTTTTTGTAGTATCCATTATTAATATCATCTGACATAGTAATTTTTTGCATACTTATGTGTTCATTTTCTGTCTGTCCCTTTTTAAGTATAGTATTTATTGAAATATAGTTGATTTACAATATTGTGTTGTTTCTTTTGTACAGCAAAGGGAATCATCTATATATCCATATACATATACTCACTTGTTTTTAGATTCTTTTCCCATATAAGTCATTACAATATACAGGACAGCCCATTCTTATTCCCTGTGCTATACAATAGACCCTTATTAGTTATCTATTTTATATATAGTAGTGTATATATGTAAATCCCAATCTCCCAATTTATCCCTCCCTTTCTTCCCTGCCAGTAACCATAAATTTGTTTTCTATTCCTGTGACTCTATTTCTGTTTTGTAAACAAGTTCATTTGTAACATTTTTTAAAGTCCGCATATAAGCAATATCATTTGATATCTGTCTTCCCCTATCTGACTTATTTCACTCAGTGTGGCAGTCTCTAGGTTTTCTGCCCCTTTTTGAATGTGTCACAAGGGCAGAGGTTTATTGGTGTTGTTACCCACTGTTTCCAGCACCCTGTTTAGTCCATAATTAACCTAAGCCCTGTTTAGTTCAATAAATGTTAAATAACTAAGTTAAATAACTAAGTTAAATAAGTGGGCAATAAGTATAAACTAAATACCTACTATATATGTATATATAATGTTATATTATTTATATGGGGGTTTAGATCTGCAAAATTGTAATCTGTAGTGCTTATGGAACAAACACTGTAGAGAAATTATAAAAACTATAGGATATTAGAAAGGCAGAGAAGTCACTGGTTAGGTACATAGAAACCCTCAATTACATGCATGATGTTTAACTTCTTAAAAATTATGAAAAATAAATGTTACATAATGTTAAGATTTTATAAAACTGGGTAGTGGGCACACTAGTGTTTTACTTATTCTTACTTTTGTTGATGCACTGGAAATATTTCATTTTATTTTTTAAGAAGGAAAAACAGATTAATCTCTTAAGGGAAAATACAGCAAATATATAGAATATAAAGAACCCATGGACTTGTAATAGGGAAGAACAAATCTGACTCCATATTGATCTGTTTCTTTTACTTTAATCTTTGTATTCTATTGCTTTTGCTACCAGCTAAGAACTTTGCCTGCAGCCTGAAATATACAGGTTAGTCCATTCTCAGGGCTCTGACTTTTAAAGGTATAACACTTTTTCATGTAGAACGTTTCCGAAAAGAGAATAACATTTCTATTATTGAAGGTTTGTTAGAACATTGTGGACAGACGCAAGAAGGAAGGGTTCTGGCACCAAGAAGTTTGCAGTAACCAACAACATCCCCTCCCCTTTTAGTATAAAAGAAGCCTGAATCCTAAAGATGGTTTTTTTGAGACAATAGTCCATCATCTTTCAGGTTTGCTGGCTTTCAAAGTGAAATCTCTCTGTCTTGCCCCAACAGCTCGTCTCTCAATGTATTAGCCAGTTGTGGAGCAAATAGTATGGTGTAGAATTAATACAGAGCTTATTTTGCCCAAGGAACTGATTGAAGTGATTGGTGAGGATTAAAATCCACCTAAACTCAGCTAAGAACTTTGCCTGCAGCCTGAAATATACAGGTTAGTCCATTCTCAGGGCTCTGACTTTTAAAGGTATAACACTTTTTCATGTAGAACGTTTCCGAAAAGAGAATAACATTTATATTATTGAAGGTTTGTTAGAACATTGTGGACAGACGCAAGAAGGAAGGGTTCTGGCACCAAGAAGTTTGCAGTAACCAACAACATCCCCTCCCCTTTTAGTATAAAAGAAGCCTGAATCCTAAAGATGGTTTTTTTGAGACAATAGTCCATCATCTTTCAGGTTTGCTGGCTTTCAAAGTGAAATCTCTCTGTCTTGCCCCAACAGCTCGTCTCTCAATGTATTAGCCAGTTGTGGAGCAAATAGTATGGTGTAGAATTAATACAGAGCTTATTTTGCCCAAGGAACTGATTGAAGTGATTGGTGAGGATTAAAATCCACCTAAACAAATCTGAGGATAAAAGAATTTTACCTGAATCCTGTTTCATTGGATGCCTAGTAAAGTAAGTAATGACTTAAGATGTGTTGATGTCATCTAGAAAAGTCAACTTAGTCTTTTGTTTTATTGACAATTGAACCTGATTAGTTTAAAAACCACATATGCACAATAAATAAATAACAATTTTTCTATCAATAAGACTTATGCTAGTTACTAAGACTGCAAGACAAATAAGATGAAATGGGGAAATCTGGCTTCAAAGAGCTCACAGTCTATTGGGGAAGGTGGACAAATAAAGAGTTATAAAGCAATGTGCCATAATAGTGCTGTAACAGCGATGTGTGGGGTGCCACGGGGGCAGAGAGCTGTGAGAATGAACCCCCCATATGTCAACAGAGATCTGTGCTCACAGGGAAACTTTACCCAGAGCCATGCTGGCAGCAACTGTGTTCCAAAATCTACCATAATTATTAGTCCTAACTGCCAAATCCAGGGCCTCCCACTAGAATTTATTATACTCCAGGTTTTGAGGGTTTTTTTTAAGTAATAAGGCATTTGTTAAATTCAACACATTCTTGGGAATTTTTTATACTCCAATTTAAGTGTCATGCGGCTAACATAATCAGGTTTTCCTCCCTGCTTCTAAAATATCCTTATCAAAACAACAACCAGCAAGTGAGGACTTCATAAATCAGAAAGTAGGGCATTCAGAAAAAAATTTTCCTCTCAATAAACTAGTTGATAAGAGGTATAAAGAAAAACCTCTCCCAGGAGAAAGTACTGAAATGATTTCCTCAACCAAAAACCAATTTGTTAGGTATTAACTGGCTCCATCTGATGATGCTATGAGTTTAGTTTCAGGTAAAAGCAAGCATAGTGACAGCTATGATGAGGATCAAAAGGAAGACAAATCTAAAATTGTCCATCCAAAGGGTGGCATTAAACAGAAATGGTCTAAATATTAACAGATCAATAACAGGGGTTTGTTTCTGGACTGCTGTTCACTAGTGTAATATTGTGCCTGTATTTAAGTAGCTGTCTTCCTCTTGGATTTATATCTGTCCTCAAAAAAAAGCACCATGGGGAAAAATCCTCCTGGTTGAGATGATTTATATTTTGGCACTGACATTATTGCTCCAAGCCTCTGGTCTCCTGTCACCAGGTAAATAGATTTTATAAAGGTAAGATGGCTTTTACATTGGAAGCTGCAATAGAGAAAACTTGTATCCTTTTTGGGAAGGACTGCCATCTGCATTTCTTGGGGTAGCTGAATTAAAATAGAAAGTAACAAATTGCTATCCTGTGAACCTGGAAGCTCACAGAAGAATGGTGTCTGGGTTTAGAGATTATTTCCCTTTAATTAATTAATTAATATAGCAGTCAGCATCTCCCTTATTTTAACCACAATGTTCACAATGTCGTCCCCCTCCTCCCCCTGTTAGGTCCTAAAACAAAGTTGAGAAAAGCAATTTCCTAAAACCAATGTTTCATTTAATCAAATCATGCTATTGCTAAGAGGAAAATGACCAATCATAATATTTACATGTTGAACCCAATCGTATGTACGTTATGGAAGAGGAATTTTAGTAATTAGGTGTAAATTCCAGAGAAAATAAAGTTCTACCTGAGAATATCCCGGGACTCTCTGCTTCTAAGAAGTAGAAATGGCATCAAGTTCTAGCTTACAGAATTGAATGATTGCCTCAGTTTTCTGAATTGTATTTTAGCTAACAGTTCTGGAGGATAATTTAGGCCTTTGGAAGAGAACATATCTGGGGGAGAAATGTATATAATATTTAATCAATTTCATTCTTCTACCATCTCTGCTCTTGCTAAGACAGTCTTTTGATACAATTCACTTCATATCTCAATCTCTGCTGAAAACAGTTGAATAGGGCCTTATTGTTTGTAGAATAATGTCAGAATGCCTAAATGCCACACTGAAGGGTATTCATCATCTGGCCCACACTAGGCCTCCACTCTTTCCTCTATTAACTTCTTAAGCATCGCGTTTTCTGTCTGTATTTTCCTCTTGGAATTTCCCTCAATGCTCTGCCTTACCCATCGGAATGACCCCGTCCTTCCACGTTATCTTTCTCCTCTTGTCACACAGCTGCTTCAAAACAGAACTCAAATATGCCTTTATGAAGCCTTCCCTCATCCTTCTGGTTAAATGCAACCCATTGCATTTTGAACTTGATACTTTTCTTCAGAGATGTCACACAATCAGTTCTTCTGTGTCTGTGTGTGTTAGTCGCTCAGTCGTGTCGACTCTTTGGGACCCCGTGGACTGCATCCCATGAGGCGCCTCTGTCCATGGAATTCTCCAGGCAAGAATACTGTTCTCCAGGGAAATTCTTCTATAACTTTTATAAAATATATTTGTATTTTTTTTTCTCATTTCAAAGATATTCCTTGGGCACCTGTTATAGGCCAGGCACAGTCCTGGTATTAGAAGTGACAGAGGATAGGCAATAAAAGGACACAGCTTCCTCCTTGCTCTTTCTCTCTGGGGCGCTCACTGTGGGAAGCCAGCCACCCTACTGCGAGGAAGCCGGAATTACCTTCTGTGGAGAGACCACATGCAGAGACCCAGATGGAGAGGAACTGAGACATCCAGCCCCCAGCCAGCATTAAACACCCAACGTGCAAGTGAATCAGATGGCTTTAGCTTCCAGCCTGTCCCTGTAATGCCCTGTCTGAATCCCTGATCCACAGAATCTGTGGGCATTTAAAAAAAAAAAAAAGTTGTTTTATGCAACTAAAGTTTGGAAGTAATTTGTTTTTAGCAATAGATACAGTAGGTGGTAATACCTAAGGTGACAAGAAGGCAAATTCATGATACATTTTGGAAAAAGAATCTATAAGATTTGCTGGTGAAATGATGTACAGGTTAAGAGGAAATAAAGGATGACTCCTGAATATCTGACTTTAGTAACAAAGTAGTAAGTAGCTCCGTATACTGAGGTCAAGAAGAGAGGGGGATTCAGATGACATATTTGGAGGGGGCAAAGCTGATCTTTCCTACTAGATTTTAAGCTCTTTGAGAGCAGAAAAGATTTTTACCTATTTCCTCCATGGCACAAAGCGCAGCATCTTTTGAATACATATGCAATATAAATCTCCTAAACTGAACTGTGAAGAAGCTACTGCCTGCAACTGCCCCAATGAAATCATCTCTGCAGAAAGCATGTATCTACAGTATATATGGATATAAATGACGATGCATTTTTAACATTTGCATAAAGAGAATTGACATATTACATCAATTAATCACACTTGGCAAGCGAAGTGTACATAAATTAACTTGCTGTGTTTCAGACTTCGGCTGCACACAGCCAAATGATATAAGGAACTGGAAAATGTATGGTTAATTTGGCTCATGGAGACGTGCATGTTTTAAAATGGGTGACATCAGCCACAAAAATGAGAAATTGTTGTTCCACATTGTGTTCTGTAAACAAAACCTCCATGCTCCTTGCTTCTTGCTAATTCTAGCTGGTGCTTGCGCGACCTTGGCTTTTCTTTACAGCCTGGTTACTGAGGTGTGTATGAGCTAAGGCTTCTTTATAAAGTGCCAAATTGAATGTAGTCACTCCAGAACGTCTGGGCACTTTCCTGATGGGTCCAGGACTCTAAACAGATCCAGTGTCAGAGGTTAGCAGCAGAGCCGCAGTGGCAGGGAGGGCCCCTCTGCAGGGAATTCTCCAGAGTCACACCTAAGTGGGAACTCTGTCTTTTCTGAGCTCCTGCTGTTTCTGTAGCATCCAAGGGGAAAGCCATTCCACCCGCATTCTTGGTGTTTGACACTGTGATTTGTGCAAACTTGCCCACTTTGAAATACCTTCACAGGATCTGCTTTGCCTTTTTCTTTCTGGCACCTAAGTTAAGAATTTATCCCTCTTAAAATATTTGCCAATCTCATTTATATTCAAAGGCAAATATGAACTCTGGAGACATCTCTTTTGACCACATTATTTGCTTCTGAGTTTCTGGGGAGGGTGAGGAGAGCTAGGCACGGGGCAGCGGAAGTCTGGAGAATATGGCCCACAGGCCTGGCCACTGGATACACAGACGCTTTTTCTAAACCACCCCTTGCTATCTCAGGAAAGAGGGTTTAGCTCTTCAGGATAAAGATGCTCAAGGATAAAGATAGCCCTCTGNCTTTTTTTTTTTTTTTTTTTTTAAGTCTTCTCAATATAAGATGGAGAAAGCTTGGTATCAGAGCAGAGGAGGGAGACAGATACTTGAGGCAATACACTCTTTTACTCATCAGTGCCTTTTTACTCATATGCATCTTTGACCTAGCAGCTGGAGGCCTCAGAAATTAAGGAAACTTATTTTTAAAGTTTCTTTTAAATTTGCAAAACCACTTTTGTTCATTGCAGACATTTGAAACAGCATCAAGGTATATACCGCATCTTCAACACAATGGAGCCTCTGTTCTTCCTGCCCTACTTCGAGCTAGTCACTGTTATTGGGGTAATGTGTGTCTATTCAGTCCTTTTTTTCTATGAACACCTACAGGCACACATGTACATTCATATGTACCATACGTATTCACGTATACCACAAAGACACATGTGTGGCTGTGGCATTAGTGTTGCTATTGTTATGGTCATAATGAAATCATGCAATTCAGTATCCCAGCAACTTTCTCACCAATGTATCATGGACACACTACATGCCAATATATTAGACATTACCAAAAATATTCAAACAAAACTGATTTATTTGGGGGGCTTCCCTTGTGGCTCAGACATTAAAGAATCTGCCTGCAATGCAGGAAACCCAGGTTTGATCCCTGGGTCGGGAAGATCCCCTGGAGAAGGAAATGACAACCCACTCCAGTATTCTTGCCTGGAGAATTCCATGGACAGAGGAGACTTGTGGGCTAAGGTCCACACAACTGAATGACTATCACTCACTCACTCAATCAGCATCCAAAATTTTTGTTCCCCTTACACTAATTCCACTGGAAGTCTAGCTAAACTCTTTCTACAATGCTACCATATTTTAAAATCATTTTCTCTTTGTGACCCACTTTTAGAGTCAGGTTAGACAGTCCATCTCTTTGCTTTGGGACCTCAGAGCAAATGGGGCATGCATTTTTTGTTTTTTACATAGATTACTTTTTTTTTTTTTTTTTTTAAATAGAGCCCATTTCTGCAGCCAGAGTTCAACTTTTCAGAGGACGTGTGTGTGTCACCCATGGTATGTCAGCTTGTTGACAAAGGACACAGGAAATAAATACTTGTGAGGTCCCTTTAGAGAGCCTCCATTAACCAGGTTCTTGCCTCAAGATGAAAGCAAAATCCATCAGTGCTTGCTGCGTCATCTGGAAGAGGTACAAGTTATTTCCGTTCCTTTTTTCCACTTATTTAAAATATTTTATTCATTCTGCTAAATAGCTTGTTAAGGGAGGTGTCAGGTATTCATTTTAAATCTAAAATGAATTTAAAAGAACGTTCTACAGTTTTCAGTTGAAATTTTTACAGGCTTAGTTTTGGACTAAGGACAAATCTAAACACTGTCTTGTTACAACCTCGCTCTGCTTCCCTATTTTCTGCATTATCTTTTGAGTCTTATTTATTCATTTCTCAAAAGTAAAAGCAAACTAGTGCAGTGAATAAGGAGCCATTTTCTTTTGTGGGTGTTTCATTTTTGGCTTCTTAGAAAACGGCCAGGGCCAATACTAATTAGTTGCCATTGTTTGCTTTACTGTTTGCTGCCTGAGGTGGGTGGATAGAAGACCAGCTTTTCCATTGCTATTTTTTATTTATTACTTTCTTACTTTTCTTTAGGTTGAAAAACCCTGCCTCTGATGGTTTACTCATGGTGACAAAAATGGGATTAATTAAATGTAAGATTTTATAAATTAAATTGATTTATAAATTAAATTATAAATTAAAAATGAAATAAATTTTCAGCAAGTGCTGTCTAGTACAGAAGCACCTATCTGGCTAAAAGGAGGGAAGCCTTCCTTTCCAACTCCTTCTGCATTTAAAGAAAACAAAAATAATTGGTGATACTGCTTGGGTCCAAATGTGTATGTAACTGTAGGCATGAATGTATGTTATAACAAAGTTAAATTCTCCTCTTTATTTTGAAATCTCATGCATGCTTGAAGAAACGTTAACTCAAGAAGGTATTTTACAAAGGTATTATTCCATTATATATACATATAGCTATTGATATCAAGAATAATGATATTGAGGCTGGTGGAAGCATATTCTTTAGAAAGTAGTGTATAATGGCAAGCTCTATCTGACAACATTAAATGTTAGTGAAAGAAAATGTTGAAAATTATTTAGTGGAAATATAGATTTTATGGTTTGCTTACAGAATTTTCTTTCAACATTTGAATTTTAAATGCAAAGTTGAGTAACTGATCCCCTTGGTTTCAGGTCCCTGGTCCTTGGCTCCTGCCTCCCTCTCCAGCCCAGTTTCCCTCCGGGACATCGCTTCCATCATTTACCCCAGGCTACAAGATAGAGATTGCCATTCAGCTTCTCCACTCTATTTTTCTTTATCCCACCATTGTCTCAAATTTTCTTTACTTCTCACATTCTTTCCTGCTTTAAGACACTTCTTTGTCCATAACCTTATACTTTTATGATTGACAGATAAAGATAATTGATTTTTCATGATTTATAGTGCAGTGATTTTCACTGCAACTGAGAAACTGGTTTGTGACCAGTTCGTCAGAACACTTCATTTGGATTGGAAGAATTCTTATGGGGAGAGATTGGCATAATATTCTAGCAGAGAAGCCCACTCCAAAATGTACGGTTAATGACTCTTGCAGTAGAATTAGTTTATGTAAGTTTATTTTCTCTAAATCAATACCTGACCATGACCATTTCAACAGATGGTACGAATAAAATGCCTCAGTCATAAAAACCTCCTCTCAAAAACAAAAAAGGCGAAAGACCACAAATTTTTTCCTTGATTGCTTACACAAATGTTACTCAAAACAAACAAAAGAAGGAATATATCTTAATCAGTCTCTACTTTAGCCCTGTACAATGATTACTGAACACTGGTAAATTCTGTATACACCAGAAGCATGAGATTATCTCCCTGCTTTCACACAAGCTGATCTTTCTCCAATCATAGGGGACAGTATTCAGATTACTTGATGATATTTCAGGCCACTCTGCCTTCAACACACGGTGACTTCTGCCTAAAGTGTCCTCCTTTTCTTCATCTTATTAGATTCAACTCATCTTTCAAGATATGGGTATGATAGCACCTCCTTAAGAAAGCGTTCTCTGTCTATCCTCGATCATTACTGTGCCCCACTCTGAGCTCAGATAGCATTCTGCATGAGTATTTATCATAGGAATAGTGTGCTGTTATAATTTTGATTTATTGCTTCTCTTTTGGATCACAGGCTATTTTCAGGAGAAGAGCATACCTTTTTCAGCTTTGTATGCCTAATACTTAGCAAAGAGTCTTTCATAGCAGGGGTGCTAATACTAATTTGTTGAATGAATGAACTTGCTAATGCCTTTGACTTATACCATTTTAGACACTTGTTGGCCGAAGAAGTCAATCAATATAATGAGATGGAGTTCATGGTGTTTTTATCTAAAATAAATCTGATCTCAGAAGTCCACTTATATTACACTTTTCAAAATGAAAATCATGAAATTAATTTCTCTGGTTCTCATTTACAAATTTTATATTGAATAATCAGATCATACTGTTTAGTTAAGGGAAACCTTAGTTCCTAGACTTATGCTTTAATAAAATTATTTCTTTGGTTAGTTTTAATATTTTAAAACCTCATATTCTCACCAGTTATTCAGCAAATATTTATTGATAACTCATTATGGGTCAGACCCTCCCAGTTTCAGGCACTAAAGACTGAGCAGAAAACGAAGTCCCTCTCTCATGGAATTTACATTTAAAGGGAGGTAAACAGGTATTAAACCAAACAAATACATATACAGAGAGACTTTGTCTTTAAAGAAATGCATTTCATGAACTTCAGGTTTAACTTGAAACTAACTACTAGGAAGAAGCTATCATTGAAGAGAAGAAGCTGCTAAAATACTGAAACACCTCATTCAGACCACAGACTCCTGTTTGCTTCTCTTGGGGATGGTAAACTGCAAAATGTGGGAGAGGCATCATGACCAGAAAGACTGAGACTTCTTTTTCTATGAGAAAACAAACATGGATGTTTTGAATTCTTTTTTATAAAATAGACCCGTGTAGTTCTGAATACAGTCGCCAAATTTTTGGCTGTGTGAATCCACAGCACTATAAAATTAAGCTTTCTGGTAAAATGACTGTTTTTTTAACCTTAAAAAATGGAAAAGGGTATTTTTCTTTTTTTCCACCGTCATAGCCCCTCTTCTCCCCACCCTTGTCTTTGGTGCTCTTGGCAACGGGCCCAATTACTACACAGGTTTTCCCGCAGGTTGTACATATTATTTTTAACCTCATTAATGGCTTACTTATGAACCAGTTAGTTTAAATCATAAGAAAGGAATGATTCACGTTCATTTAAGTGTATTCTGATAAATTTGGCTACTCTTATAAAGCAGAGAGAGGTATATAATGAGGCAATTGGAGGATACAGAACTCATTAATCTGTGAGGTAGCAGTGATTCCAAACAGAGACAGGCAGACATGTGTGTTAGGTCTCTTATGGGCAAAGTAATTATGTCTTCGAAAGATCTGCAGTTTGTGTACGTTTGTTACTCTTGGAGGAATCCCCCTTCAGAACTTTAGAGAAAGAAAATTCTCTGAGGAGCTAATCCAGACTCATGAGTTATTATGGTTTATAGCATCCATTTTATTCCCCAACCCCTGTTAGATGTCACTACTGTGGATGTAGCAGTTCCTTCCCTACCCTTGGATTCAGGCAGGAGAGCTGCCCAGAACCAAGAAGAAAAATCTAGGACAACCCTCACTGTCTTTAGTAAGGACTTAGTGATGTCTTAGATCTTGACTCTGTACACAGATTTGGATTGTTGGAGACTCTTTCTCATTTATTTCAGAGAATGGAAACAATAACAATCAAGTCAAAACTCTGTTTGTTTAGCAAAAGGATGTTTGTTACATGGAAGAGTTCTTGACAAAACCCATGTACTCATCAGGCCATTTTTCCAAAATCTGTTTTCTGTGCAATTCAATCTCAAAGCAAAATATAATAACATAAAATTGGTGATTTAAGTCAGACTATTGGTTTAAGTAAATTTTTTTCAGTCTGAATTGGTTTTTCTTCTAAAGGAATTTAAAGGTCATGAGAGTTGATCTGGTCACATGGATAAGGGAAGTTATAGATAGGGATCCAGATGTCAATTTTTTCCCCAAAAGAACCTCTTTTGGAAGAATATAGATTTACTCAGGTGACTGAGGCACAGAGAGATAGGGAAGCTATCATCTTACTGTATCCAGAATTTCAGTTATATTTTGACTTTCAATAAGCATCTATATAATTTAAATAATACTTGATTCAAGATAAACTTTACTTATCTCTAAAGCAGAAATATTCTTAAATTTATAACATAAAGAGCAATATATATAAGGGAATGAATCAGGAATGATATTATAAGTAATTCCTGAAAATGACTTCTATCTACTATTTTTTATGGGCCATCCAAATTCATACATCTGTGATAACTGACATTGTATACTCAGTGATTTGGAGAATTCATTTAAAATGTCCTCAGAAAATATAACCTTCAATCATGTACATTTTCATTTATGTGCAAAATTTGAAAGAATCATAATATTTATGAAAATTTTCTTTGAAAGAGTCAATTAGACTACATGTAGAACATAAGAATATATAATAATTAACATTTATCCATATTTAGAAAGTATACAAGTACAAGAGATAGTACTTGCTCTATTGAAGAAACACAATTTTCAGGAATTACTGATTTTCACCAATTACTTATTTTCACCAATAACTGTGTCTAGAGAAAATTCCATATGTGAGTGGAATGACTGGAAAGTGAGAAGAAAGCTGGAAAGTTCCAGCCTCAAGAAACCACTTCTTATCCCCTTCATCCTTAGCACCCTACCATCTCGCAGAAATAGAGTTAATGTGGTCATGTGTGTCTTCTCCTCTATCAAATGTACTGGAGATTCAAACCTGAAGCTACCAGAATGTAAAATCCTAAAAATAAATCATCCCCTTTCAGATATCTGCAAATCACCTCCATGTTTTCAATGAAACAAAATTTTACTAGCTTGTTGGAAAGCCTTGTAGGAAGCATAGAATCAAAAATATTGGAAAGTCACAGGTCTGATAAAGCCTTAAAACCATGGACCACCTCTTCCTGATATCTCTTTTTCCTTCCTTCCCTTCTGCCAACTTTGCTGAGGAAATGTAAGTGAGGAGGTTTAGATGTGGGTTGTCTTGCCCATCAGGGGGTAAGTTACTAAATTGAAGATTTCAAAGGATATTGGCTTAGATAACAGTGAGCCAAAAGTAAAGATAGTGGCAGCACCCAGCGTGGCTCTGTTAACAATTCCAAGCTTTGTCTACTTGCTGCACAAGAGACCAGTAACCTGGAGATCAGGTCTTGAGGTGGTGAGGTGTTCCTTAGAATAGTGATTTTATTTAGAAAGCCTGGCATCCAAGAAGAAGGTAGACTGGAGTCCTAGGGTGCAGTCTTCTTGGGATCTGGATGCCAGTTTCTTTTACAGAACAGAAACGGGGATGGAGTCAAGCAAAAGGGCAGTAAGTCTGCAAAATATCTCCTGGTTTGGCCAGCCTTAGGGAGAGGATGTATTAGATTCTTCTTTTCTGCAGCTATTCATAGGCGGGCAGTGGCAGGGTGTTTCCCCGTGAGCAGAACAAAAGTACAGCAGTTTAACAATCAGGCAGAGGGGAACGGTTCCCTGAGGCAAGTCATTATGTGTGTTTACAGCCATAGACAGCGTCCTTTTAGGAATTCTAGTTTAAAAAATATAAAAGAAGAAGAAGAAAAGCAATTAAAAGCAAAGGGTAAAATAAAAGAGATCCAACTTGGAGTCAGCTTTTGTTCTTCCCTGTTATTTGATTACCCTATAGCTTGATGGCAAATTTAGGATCACCTGTCACCTCACTAATTTCTTCATCCTTGATCTCTTTTCCTGTCAATATTATGTGAAGTATTATTTCAAGAAGCTACAGGCTCCCTCTTCCAACCAGCTTTCTCCTGCTCAGAAATATTGGACCTAGAAATTTATCGACTTCTGAGATTTTGAAAGAAAATATTAGGGACCACTGAGGTTTTGTTTGAATTAAATAAATAAAGTATTCAATAATTTACCAGCCATGCATAAGGATGCAGCAAGGGATCTCATGATGGTGTTAAAATATGCATTGTATATCTGAAAATTTTTTCTCCTCAGCAGGCTATGTCAGCACACAAATGTGCTTTTGATATCTAATGCAAAAATGATCATGCTGTAGACTGATGAGAATTCTGAAGACTGAGACCACAAAACCTTGGCCGCAGTCATGGATTCTCATTAGCAACTCAAATCTGAGCCATTGTATTACTTCTTCTGAAACCATAGAAATGCAATATCCAATCATCAAGCAAGAAAATAAAAGAATTCAGTCAGAATTAAGTGTGACAGTGAGGAAATAGTCACCAAACTTTGATACTTCATGTGAATCAGTTTTGAACCAAACAGAGGAAAAAAGGAAGGTTCTAATATCACTATGTATGTGAGAATATTATTGTTTGGTCACTAAGTCGCCTCTGATTCTTGAGACCACTTGGACTGTAGCCCACTAGGCTCCTCTGTCCATGGGGTTTCCCAGGCAAGAGTACTGGAGTGGGTTGCCATTTCCTTCTTTGGGGGATCTTCCTGACCCCGGGATCAAACCTGGGTTTCCTGCGTCGGCAGTCAGATTCTTTACTGTTGAGCACCGGGGAAGCCCATATGTGAGGATAAACCCACATTAATATGGACAGGAAATTGTGATGATTTTTTTTTTTCCCTTGCTGTTTCAACCTAGCTAAGACTGTTTTCCTGAATTCTCTTCCTTGTGTGGTTCAGGTTAGGGTAGGTTGCAAGGGAATTTTCTATGAGCCTGAAAAGGCGGACGCATCCCTTAGCCCTAAATGTCTGTGTGGGCCTGGGTGCTGGCAGAGGATGAGGACGCATGCTCTCACTCTCTGCTAGCTCCCAGGGTGGGCCTGGAGAAGCAATGGGGCTTGCCGCTGCTCCAGCTGTTGCCCAAGCTCTTTCTGTAACTCTTCAAGTTCTGGACTGGGAGCCATGTATGGTTTATGGAAAAAGAGACTGGCTTCTTCAAAAACTTGTGTTGGCTTCCCCTGTGAAACTTGCTTGTCTGGGGACTCTGCATCCCCTTCCAAAACTAGCTCAACCATCTCTCTTTGCTCTCAGAATCCAGTCTTGGCAGGCTTTAGGGCCACCCATAAAGGTAAACAAAATTATTACCCAGAAAACAAACTGGCAAAATTATTGCCCATAAGGCAAAATGAATACAAGGTGTTTTTACCTTATATGGAAATACCTAGAAATGTTTGTTAGGGAATCCTAGGGTGTATAGGATAAAGGTGGAAAAATAGAATAATTTTTTTATATAGGTGTACTTGAGGGGGGAAGGATAAATTGGGAGTTTGGGATTGACATATACACACTACTATATTTAAAATTGATAACCAACAAGGACCTACTACTCTATAGCATGAGGAACACTCTCAGCATTCTCTAATAGCCTGAATGGGAAAATAATTTTGAAAAGAATAGATACATGTACATGTATAACTGAATCACTTTGCTGTACACCTAAAACTAACACAGCACTGTTAGCTGACTATACTCCAAAATAAATAAATGTTTTAAAGAGATTCTAGATTCAGCATTTTACTGACTGTGACACTCATCTTGGTTAGATGATTAGATTTTCTTTGTACCCTGGAGATATGGTACTCAACCAGAGTTGGAATCCTAGAAAGGAACCTCTCTCTACTCACC